TCGGTGTTCAGACGTAGCCCTGCCTGTTCCAGCTGCCACTTGAAAGTCCGGAAAGCTCCAATGGCTTCTCTGGCTGCGAAATCTGCATCCCGGCTATGAATGTCATAGCTGACGTCATCGACCCAAGTTTGCAAAGCTACAGCCGGATGAGCTTGGACAAGAGCCCTGAGAGGTCGGTAGAGGATGAGCTTGGAGATTGCTGGAGCCTGAGGGCAGCCCTGAAGAATGCCTTTTTCATAGTGGCGAGGATCTCCATTGATGCCTTCGGCTTGGATGGATCTGGGCCCTCGATAAAGGTCCAAGGCAAACTTGAGATGCAGAGGAGGGTATCCAAGTTCCCGGGCTGGCTCAATGATCTGGTCAAGGTCAACATGATCGTAGAAGCAGGTGAGGTCTGCTAAGCACGTGATCGTGTGAATGCCCTGGTGTTTTGCAATCTCTGCATGAAGCATGCGACCAATGGCTATGCTGAGGCAATCTTTTCCAGGTCTCGCTTGGTCCCAAGGGAGAGTGTCGTCCAGGGTGAGCTGCCATCGTTGAAGATCCGCTTTCCTGCAGGAGCACCAAACACGGTAGAGGCAACTGGTCAAAGCAATGGGACGCTCGACCCTGCTGTTCTTGGGAATGAGCACAATGTTGGTGGCTCGGAGTTGAACGGCTAGTTCACCTTCCCGTTCCATGTTGGTGAGCAATTCAGCGAGTTTCTCCACCGCCGGATAGGGCAAATGTCTGAGGAAGTTATAGGAGATTCCATCCGGGCCCGCCGCTTTATGCGGAAGCTTCCGAAGCAGTTGCTGCAGATGATATGACTGAAAGGGTGGTAGCTGCTCCGCTTGAGCTATGGCAGCCTGATGCAAAAGATCCCAGGAGCGAAGAGGCCGTGGATCTGTGCGGGGCTGCCAAATGTCTCCCCATTGAGCTTCTCTGGCGTGGAGACGTTGGTCAGCTGGAAGATGCTGAAAGGGCCTTTCCCATGGGATGTCTCGTTGACGGAGACTGCGGAAAAGCCCACGCAAACCTTTCTCATGGGCCTTCTCCAGCCAAATCTTGTATTCATCGTTGGTGCTGCTGAAGAGGCGTTTGTGTGCTTCCTGCTCCTCCTCGGCTATGAGACGTCGGAGTTCGGTGGGTTCGTTTTCAGGATGTTGGATCCAATGCCCAAGGAGGGCCTTAAAGAGGTCCTGACTCATGGTCTCAGAAGCATGGAGATGGAGGGCCTCGAGCATGTTAACCAAATCATGTCCCACCCGGGTGCTGTGTGAGTGGTGCACCACATTGATCCGGACTTTCATCTTTTCCCAGTAGGCCAAATGGCCTTTTCGCCAGGTGGTGGATCTCCCTTGGTCAACAAGTGGTGCTTGATAAAGATTGATGCGCGAGCCCCGACCAGTCGTGGGATGATGTAGCAACTGAGTGAGATACTTCTCAGTTTGAGTTGCCCAGCGAGCAAAATCCGACCCAATGCCGGTGATCTGCTGGCCCATAATGTGGAAGGGACCATCATCTTCCCAAAAGCTGCTCCAGTTGCCAGGGAGCTGGAAGGTGCGGCCTATCGGTGGGAAACGCTGCAGTTGTTGAACGGCAACAGCTGACTGTGCACAATGCACTGTTATATATATATATATATGTGTGTGTGTGTGTGTCCGGAGACGCGGGCCTTAGATAAAGCCATCTAAGAAGCCACGTGCTTCTACATGGTCATCCAATCCTCTGAATGCACAAGGATGGATGCGACCATTGGATGCGACACTGTACACGCGTGCATAACATTCCCAAACCCTAGCCAAGCTGGTCAAGGGTAGCTTCGTCACCGAGCGTTCAGTTTTGGACTGGTAGAATTGAGATGCAAGAACAAGATCATCCATCCAACGAAAACCGGAAAGAAACCCAAGCTCGAACCGGTGCGAATTATTTGGGTGAACATGTTCATGGCTTCCTCCACTCGGTCATGGAATGTCATGATGTGAAGCTCCCGTAGGGCTCTCAGCAAAAGCGTCTTTGGATGTCTTTGGCGACTCTGCGGGCAATGGTTTGAGGAGGTCCCGTCTTCTCCAAACCTTGGTGAGCCCAGTCGCCACACATGTCGCACATGTCCAGGCCAAGGCTCCGTAGCCATCCCCACCTGCAGAGCCACGTTTCCTCAGGCAGGACTTGCTAAGAGCAATGGCCTCCAACCTACTAGCGATTAGTACATGGAGTCGGTGGGACATTGGTGATTGAGGACGTTTTGATCTGGACGGCAATATTCCTGCACTATAAGACAATTCAAGGGATCCACACGGGGAATCTGAGGCCATTCATGATCCTGTTGTGTCTGTCAGCATGACCATGTCCGTATGCTAAAGGAGTTCAGAGATCGCAGGTGGGATTGTCAATCACCTACAGTACATAGACAACACACAGTAAATCATTATGCTGGCACGCACCAATGCTTTTGCTTGAGTCAGCCGAAATGTTCACACATGTGTCCTCTCAGGGCCCCAAATCAATTCACCGGATTCCCGCCCCCCAGGAATCCAAAGACCCTTCCAGTATACCTCGGGCCAAGGGGCGGCTCCCAGGGCTCGGGCGAGGCGGCCCCAAGCTCTAGGCCTCGATCGACCAGGTGCTGAACTGATCCGATCCAAAGACCCCCAGGCTAAGAGCAACCCATAGGCTCCATAGACCAGACCAAAACCAAACCATTTACCAAAACCCTTTGGTTGTGAAGTCTCATGCAAATTCATGCTAGATCATTTTACTCATTGCAGGTCCTGGATTGTACATAGCCAGAAGACCTGCGAAGAACCACAGGAATCGATCTTTAACATGGGCCGTGTGGCACCAAGATGCACGCCCAACTTTCTCTTCCAGTGGCTTACCTACCCTTCTTTGGGGGCTGGACTCTTGGCACACGTCGAACCCCAAAATGGTGCTTTTCATCAAAGCCACAGTGTCGAACAGCACCTGGAAGACAGTTCTGTGGGGTTCAACACTGACTGCAGCCCCTGTCAGTCTGTCTCCAGGAAATTCTGGGCAAACCACTGTTCACAGCCTGCACCGAAGATTCCTGCAGGCAGTTGCACACAAGTGGGAGTATGAAACGCTCAAGACTTGACGCTCTCACAGTCGCTAGGCTGCCAAGTTCCTGCAAGTAGGCAGAGCGTCCCTTCATTCCCATTCACATGGTGCAAAGACTAGAAGTTTACTAATTAGAAGATTTCTGCCGCAAAGTATGTCACATGTCCCATTATGTCTCCATGCCATTTCAAAACCGATTGACTGCACCGGCGAAGCTCCCCAGTCAGCTCCACTCCTGAGGAGCTTCGCCGCGCCGCCAGGGCGCCCAGAAGCGGGCCCGGCCCGCGTCGGCGCCACAGTCCTGGCCTTGAGCAATGCTGACGCTGGCGGTGGCGGACCAACAGGCGGGTGACCCATGGGTGGCCCGTGGGTGGAGCGGACACTCAGAAGTTCAAGACCGGCCCGTTTTGCTTTAGCGACTGTGGTTTTGCCATTGGAGAGGACCAGGAGTCTGAACTAGTCAAAAGTATATCAGTGGTCCTGTTTTAAACCTGCTTTCCTCATTTCTTAATCTCCCTCCGTCTGCATTCCTTTTCAGGGCTACCCTCCATTGATTGCATGGGATACTGTTCTGTGAACGCTCTATATGGGCAACATGTGCATAGCCGCATGAGAACGAAGACTTCAGGTGCCATGAGTCTGGGCTTCCTTGCTGCCTTTTTCATCCATTTTTGGACCCTGAGGGAAAGCTGGACCTTGCTGACTTGGAGGTTGCAACAGGAGTCCAAGGCCAACACCCGCGTTCCATGTGGATACGACGGGTGGATAACAGCGACACAGACAGTGACCCTCTGACTCAGGGGGATCCGGGCCGACGTCCAGGTTCCATCCTTCCAGGGTTGCATGTCAGTCATCTGGTCAACTGGGCGTGTGGTATAAGCCCACAGCCACACTTCGGGCTTGTATGCCTTGAGGATGTTCGGGTCAAATATGGTCAAATATATTCAAAAATTGCTTACTGTAATTATATAGTGTCACACAGAAGTCTACATCCTTCATCAGCTTATGCACGACCACTTCAACAGGGTTAGAGATCAGCCACCAAGGACAATAGTACCTTCACAGCTTGCTTCCACGACATAACGCATCCAACACATGGCAGTGAGGGCGCTTGTGGCATGTTGCTCAAGCCACTTGCAACACATATTAACATTATTGGGACATGCTCGAGCATGCTGCTGCCGGCAATCTTGAAAGTGTGGAAAGATTTGGAAAACTCATGTCTTTCGGTCCCCTTAGGTCAGTACCGGGTCGGCCAATAGTGTTCCAATGCGCCACCAAAGACTTTCGCAAGATTGACCGCAAAGATCGTCAACAGCTTATATTATACAGTACATATCCTGATGCTAGAGCTTCTAGATGTAGATCGTGATGATGCTGCTGCTGATGATGATGAGGATGATGAGGATGATGATGAGGATGAGGATGAGGATGAGGATGAGGATGAGGATGAGGATGATGATGATGATGATGATGATGATGATGATGATGATGATCAATGATAGCCTCGTTCGTCTTTTGCCCATTCCATTTGCCTTGTCCAACATGCTCAGGGTTCCGCTTCCCTTCTGCCTGGCAGGCGGGTCCACAAGGCATGCAATTGTTCTCAAGGTCCAATTATAGTGGAACCTTTGGAACACGGCCAGGAAGCTTGCAGGTTCCGAAGCATGAGTCGTAAGCTCTGGCCTTGTGTCTCAAGTCTGTGTCTCCAGTTTCATGTGACACTCTTCCGATCTCGAAGTCGGCGCAAAGGTATGGGACCCACCGCTTCATTTTTTCAACAGGCGCAGTGCTTGATTTGGTCCGGAAAGCTATGCTCCTGTCCGTGCACAGCCTATCATCAGCTCCTGACTTCTTCTTGTTGAGGTCAGACTTCATTCAAGGGGCCCCTGGGTTTCCGAGATAAGGTGCAAATTGATCAAAGGGCCTACGATGGAGCTCTGGAACATCAACCAACTCCCGGTGTCACTGGCATGATGCAACTTTTTGCCGGACCCAGGGTGCCCCAGTTTCATCCCGTCTTGAGCCCGTCTCAGCTCTTCCCATTAGTGGGCAAGCACACTGACCAGTTGAATCCACCACGGCCTGGCCACTCATGGGACGCGATCACCGAGGCCAAACGATCGGGCTGCGCCGGCTGCTGCAAGGGAGACTCGTGAGTCAGCCAGCTTGGGATCAGAGGGTCTGGGAAGCGGTACCAGTCTGGGAGAGCACCATCATCCTGAGAGCGGAATCGCATGTCATGAAAAGAATCTTCTCTAGCAGTAGCAAGACATTTTGACAACCCATCATGGATCAGGAGCGGTTTCCATGGGCATATCACGGGCACATCATCAAACAAGAAACGCCTCTTCTGCATCCAGGGCTCCTTTTGCTCCTTGTTCTCAACTTTTCGCATGAGCTCTTCGAACTTCCGGTTCAAGTCTCTCAGCTCTGCGTCACGGGGGTCCGGTCCTTCGGCCATGGTGCGCTGCGCCAGAGCGGCTTGTTGCGGAGCACGTCAAACCTTGAGCCAAACGTTTCGTGGGCCTTGGACAAGGCCTGGGAGTAACAGAACTGCTACGCATCTTTCGTTGAACTGTGCGCAAGGGCATGCTGCCCATGTTCTCCAAGCAGCTACTGGGGCGAAGTGGGAGCCAGGTCGGATGGGGCAGCCGGGTTCAACTTCGCATGACCAACGTCATGCCTCGGCTGCATCCAGCTGCTCGATGCTCTCCAAGTCTAGGGTCATCGAATGCTCCATGCTCTCGGGCGTCACCTGAAGAACTGTTCTGCTCCCTTCGTCAGTTCGTTATACAGTATAACTGTTTTCCACCATTCCTAGCCTAGCTCCTCACTCCGAGGGATGACAACTTGATCTATATCCACGATTAACATTCATTTCGTGGACGGATTTGGGGTTGCACTATCTGCCGCAAAACATGTTCTTGCGGGGCCTCCGGCTTCTCTTCGGCCTGCCGAGACTTAGGATCTTGACAGTGGAGCGCAAAATAATCAGCATGCGGTGACGATGAAATAGTGCAGAATCATGATGAATCATGTCAATTAGAATTCGCTGACGGCGTTCCTGCACTTGGAAGGTGTCCTCTTCACAGTCTCAAATTGCAAGGTTCCGGTATCATGCCAAGGGGCCAAAGGATTGCCAAAGTGAGCATCAAAACTGAAGCTTGACAATGAGGGTGGATAGAATATATATCTATATATGCAATATGACTAATTATATATATATATATGTCATACTCTATCTATAAGCTTGAAGCGGGGGTGGCCATTGAAGCAACATGAAGCTGGCGAGGTCCCCGACGCCAAGAACACAAAAGTTGCAACCACGCAAACCAGCCAGGGAACCCAACGTGTAAGAAGAACTTTCCGCGCTATGCACCAGCTAAGGTATGCATCAAAGGAGCTGGGGCTACAAACCCTTTCGACACAGGCCACCCAAAAAAACTAGCAGTGGCAGCGTAAGTGATTGCAAAGTGTGGAGAGCCACCAATCGAAAGAGTCAGAAATAGTCAGAATAAAAACACGCAAGAACCACTACAAAAGGATCAGCACAGTTAATAAAAATTCCCTCAAAAATGCATCTGTCGAACATTCACAAGCCAAATCCTTTCTGCCACTTCCAGCGTTCATGTCGGTTCTGCCATCATGCGGGTGAGAGGCTAGGATACAGTCGGTTGCACCATATCATACATACAACTTACAGCCAAACGATGTCAAACGTCCAGGTGTTCAAAGCCTCTCACCTGCTACTAGCGCGTTAAGCCTCTAAGGCTGATTTTGGCGCTCGGGCACGCTGACACTGAAGCAGCGTCCGCTTCAGCTGGCCGGAATCACTCTCCAGCTCCTAGCCGACAAAAGGCAAGCAAGTGGAGGATGATGGCGGACAATTGCATTACAACAGGAAGGTGGCCTTATCATCCGCCCCCCCTCAACCAAATAATTTTTGGGGGGGCATGTGGGGCTGCAGAGGCTTTCAAGAGGCCACGCGCACGGGTGAGCTTGATGGAGTTGCGATGGTTCCCCAAATAGTGTGGACACCCCCGGGCTTCTTACGGTAGCAATTAAGCACCGGCGTTGGATTCGAGGTGTTGCGCGGGCGCGTCCGGCTAATTCGCTGGTGCTTACAGTACATTCATGCCTCTCGAAATCCTAGAAGTGCATTTCGACTGCGCAAGCTCGCAAAATCTGGGTGGCCGCGCCAGGTGCTTGTCGCGACTGCGCTCTCGTTGTGGTGCCGTGCGCATTTCGGACATGATGGCCACTTTTCGTGGCAGGCGCATGGGCAACCTTGTGTTTTGGTGGTCCACTTTTCGTGACTGGCGCAAGGGATCGGAGCAGTTTTACACTTCGAAATGCAGATTTCGTGGCAGGTCATGGAGGTGATCTTCGAGGCGCTCTGATTTCGTGACAGGCGCAGTGAATCGTGACTTTTGGCCATGTGGCTGGGTTGCAAATTTCTTCGCAGGTGAAGTACTTTCTGGACCTTGAAGTGCAGATTTCGTGGCAGGCGCAGCACTTTGTCAACCTCGAAGTGCAGATTTCGTAGCGCCTGCACCACTTTGTGAACCTCGAAGTGCAATTAATCTTCGATCCAGCCCATGGTGTTCAGATTTCGTGACAGGCGCAGGATTTTGTGAACCTCGAAGCGCAGATTTCTGGCAAGCACACCACTTTGTGAACCTCGAAGTGCAGATTTCGTGGCAGGCGAAGCACTTTGTGAACCTCGAAGCGTAGAATCGTAGATTTCGTTCCAAACCCAGCACTCTCAATCACACTCACTCTCACTCACTCTCACTCACTCTCACTCACCCGCTCACTCACTCTCACTCTCACTCTCACTCTCACTCTCACTCTCACTCTCACTCTCACTCTCACTCTCACTCACACTCACACTCACACTCACACTCTCACTCTCACTCTCACCCTCACTCTCACTCTCACTCTCACTCTCACTCACTCACTCATTCACTCACTCACTCACTCACTGACTCATTCACTCACACTCACGCACTCACTCACTAGCACTCACTCACGCACGCACGCACTCACTCGCTCACACTCATTCACTCTCTCACTCTCACTGACTCATTCACTCACACTCACTCACTGACTCACTCACTCACTCTCACTGGCACTCACTCTCACTCTCACTCTCACTCACACTCACACTCACTCACACTCACAGTCTCACTCTCTCTCACTC